ACGAGAAGAGATGAAATGGAGAACAGATAAGTCTTTTAAAGTGTTTAAGTCAATAGTTTGTTACATACTTTTAAGAAACTGTTTACACACAAAATTGGCATTTCTTAAAGTAGCATCAGTATTTAAGTTGTCTGATTCAAATGCAGCAAACTTCAGCAGGTACTCTCCTTAAATCAACTCAGCTCCTGGCTTACATAGCAAACCTATACAACTGTGTGCAAAGCACACTTTTGACTCACTCTTAACAACTAGATATACGGACCATCATCTGTTTTCTCTTCCCTTTGACTTTACTGAATTGCTTGTCTCTCACAGATCACAGAAAAGAGGGGGTGCTTTTCAGGAGGAGTTTGAATGAAGGGAGGGAGACTTGCAAATCAGTTCAGAAAGGGTGTTCCACAATTGAGGAATGCCCCAGAAACAGCTGTGGTACTTTATCAGCATTAGCTTGGGATAGTTGCATTACATGTAAGTGGGGAAGCTCCAAACACAACATATAAATTATAATGATGAAGCCTGGTGTGTGTATATGTACACGTATACTTTTTTCCCCACCCACTCCACAAATTATGTACTCTTCATGACATAGCATCTACCACACTCTTTTCCATACAAAACCCTCTGGAATTACAGTGACACCCCAACTGCTTCAGTGGCAATAAATACCTTTTTGTTTAACTGTTAATTTTTTGAGCAGCTTGTTGTCAGACAGTGTCAGCACATTTCCTTGGGATCAAAACTCCACAATGCATGGTGCTACACTAAACCAAAAGGATATCAGTCCGTAGAATCTCATTTAAGACAAATATGGTTGAAAAAAAAAATATCAGAAAAATCTTCACAAACAAGTGATACAATTTGTTGTGATTCTTCTCATAGTGAAATTCACAGTGTTCTGCTTTGTTCCCCTTCCTGCTGCACTGCTGACTTCAATCTGCTACTGGTTATGTTTTTTTTTCTACTAAGAAGAACCCTGAAAACACTGCCTGGTGAATTGCTTTCTTTTTACAAAGGCTATCTCTGTCAAAGTGTAAAGCTGCAATTTGCTGTAGCTGAGTTGTTTTACTAACATAAACAAGACAAACTCTAGATGGATGTTGTGTATTTTACCAGATATTTTTCTGGCGCAGCTTAAAAAATTAAGCCATTTTGAACACAGAAGCCTTTTTACAGGGAAGATGTCCTCAGAATGAGAAGCCTTGATCAGTTTGACAGTGCTTCCATTTCTGCTGCAGTCAAGAAGAAGATCATAGTTGACACAACTAAGCTGGCCTTACCCTGCACAGCTTATCTTCCAGAACCAGCACAGCCAGGTTAGCTGCCCAGTTTCCTGGCGAGATCTGGCAGGCTGCACTGAGCTCTGTATTGCATTTGTTCACTTAAACAAAATTCTGGTACCTCCGCATGTCCCATCTTGACTCCAGTGTATTCCAAGAACAATGAGAATTTATCACCTATGGCTGAGACTTAACTGACTGATCTCTGGGAATTAAATTGTCATGGAAACATAATAAAAAATGGAAGAAGAGATCTCTGTCAAAAGAAGGTTATTTGCTGTAAGGATGGCTGCCTGAAGAAAGACTGTCAGCCACATCAGGTCTCTGTAAACGTCATTTTTGTGCAGAAAGAAAACAAAACCCAAGGTGATGTGCAGTCATCTAGAATCAGGGAAAGTGGGTGCCAACATCTTCATGAAATACGTAGTGAGAAGACTCCCAGAACCACGGATACACACTGGTTTCTCTGCGGGTGTTTTCCAGAGTTTCTCACCTCTACATAAAGATGGAAATCTGGGATTTTTGAACTGCTGCTTCTTAAAGGGTTCCTACATCTCTAGATTACATTCAAAAGAAAGTGTAAGAACTGTATTTGACCTCTGCAACATCACTAGGGAACACTGGACTGCAATCCAGCCATAAGCTCCTAGGGAAAAAATCAGCAACATTGTACAAATCCCATGGTTGTTTTACACAAACCTGCAATAGGTCACAACGGGAGACCCGGTCTCCCTTTCTTGCTAAATCCAGCTCAGCAGCATCTCTCAGTGTGTTCAGGGTGTGTTCCCTGCATTCCCTTTGTCTCAGAAGCTCATTAGCAAAAATCTGCTATTTCCAGTTAAATGTCTTGAAAATGCATATCCAGTAATAATATTTTTATGTGATTATTGTACATTTTAATGATTTGCACTGAAAATGGTAACATTGCCTTTTGACACAAACCAGAAACATATCAAACTACTTTTTTTTCTCTTTAATAGGGCGCTTCCCTGCTTTCAAGGCTTCTGCTGGAAACTCTGCAAATGCTTTAAATAATTTGTCACCTTTGTAATTTATTTCTTCCTTAGTCGGACCAAGACACTCATTAGTCTTTAAGTCCTAAAGAAGCTTTGAAGATGTATTAGTTTTGTGGCACTGTTAGATTTCTTGTGATGCTGCTTGCTAAAACTTATTTCCATTTCATTGAGAACAAATTGGACAGGACTTCAATCATAACTGAGCGGAAATGGAGTTGTAATATCCATACTGTGCATAAAATTAGAGCCAAAACCATATTTTTGCCACCTTAATATCCTTTAGCTAACAGCAGAGCGCATGAGTGTGAAATGAGCAGTGTTGCATATTATTCTCTATTAGGCTACACTGTTTTAATGTTAAAATACGAAATAAAAATCCCCAGAGTCTTCTCCCCTAACTACCTTGTTATCATGATAAATTATATGCTTCATAAAATGTCAGACTTTGAAAAACTAAGGGAATCAATTAACAATGTGAACTGAATGAAAAGCTCAGGAACTTAAGTGAGGACGAGGACTGGTATTTCTTTAAATCAAAGGTACTGAAAATGAAACACAAACTGCATTTCACACATGGGGATGCTTGTCAGAAAGGAGATTCAGCGTTGTATTGAACGGCCCCTGAAACAGAAGCTGGCTAGTGAGAAGGAGGTCACAATGAAAGTACTGACGAATGAAAGTACTGATCTACAAGAAAAGCAGGATCTTGGAGGTCTGGAAGTGCAGAGGTTATGGAGCAACTGCCACAACTTACAGGTAGATTTTGCAAAGGAAGTGAAACCAAAGAAGAGCAAGCTCAAACAGAAGAGCAAGCTCAAACAGAAAAAGAACAAGCCAAAAGGTAGTAAATGAAGACTTAGCCTCAGTTTTATGGCAGTGCAGAGCATGGGGACAATAGCAGGATGGACATTAGGAGCACGTACAGACATGGATGCCAGTGCAGCCAATGATCTCTGTCCCTGAACAGTGAATGAACCAGCCCCAGAAATGGCCAGACTCCCATAACTGAGTTAAAATAAAAGGATCCCTACTTAGAATCAAGTGATCCAGTAATACGAGAAGTAAATGCAATGCCATTTAAAGAGGAGGGAAACAATACGTGTTAATATGGAATCATTAGTATGCACACTGTTAAAAAAGATTTTGATGGAAAGAATTATCAAAACTGTGGAGGTAAATGAGGAAAATGGAACAGGCTCCCAAGGATTGCTCATGACAGGCTAAACTGATATCTTTGCTTGGCAAGATAGGTAATTTTTTAGACAGCAAGGATAGAACACTCTAACTGCGTTGCAGTAAAACATTCAGAATGGTTCACCCAGAACAGGACTGGAATAGAGAGTTAAACAGGCAACCAGGCAGAAAAGCAGTATCAATGGTTGTGCTGGTAGAAGAACCATTGGGATGGAAGAAGGTAAACAATAGTTCCACAGAAGCAGTCCCGGAACCAAACTTCATTTAATATTTTCATTTTATCTCTTGGCACAAAAATAGAAGATGAGCTAATAATACAAAGGGACTTATCTCACCTAAATCTTGTTGTCTAAAAATCAGGCTTTTACTGGAAAATAGTTGCTCCTTTCATAGTCAATGTAGAAACAGGCACCTCGGAGGGAAACTCTGTCTAGAGATGTCTAAGATAGTTCCTTCTTTCCACTGCCTGTAGAGGAAGTCTAGATGATTTTATTAAACAAACAGCCTAACTTTCAGATAGCTAAACCATGCTATTCAGTGGTTGGCATAACAGATACACCTCATAGAGAAAATATTTAAATCCTGCAGCTCATGAGGATTAATTTTCTGCAATCCATGTGTATACATGGGAGGGATTTTGGGTTTATCTTGACCAGACTTGGTGTTCAGCTGTACCTAATGAATAGGCTCCCTAAATTAACACACACTAGTCTTCTGCTGTCCAGTGGAGGCTGCTTACTTTCAAAGGGCAATACCAGTCCAAAGGTTTGTGGGCTGAGGTTCAGAGGCAAATCTCCAAGGGACAAAAAGCATCTGCCTCTAGTTTGCCTTTACAATGAACTTACAGACTGCAATACTAAGCATCAGCTGATGAAATAATAAAATACTTTAGCCTTTAGCAGCCCCTGGGCAAGATTCTTACTGCCGAGATATACATCTAGAGATGGGATTAGGGAATTAGAACATAAATCCCTTTTCTTACTTTGTAGTTCTCAGCAATTCTTCATCTCTGAGCTTTACATTCTCAGAACTTAATGACAGGGTGCTGCATAAGGAATTACTAATGCAACTTAGATGAAGCACACCATGAACTCCAACCATAGGTTCCTTTGTATAGCATGCCAGAAACATATTCTTACATGTTATCATCAAAACAAATAAAGTATGCTGTTTTGAACTAGAAGATCTTTAATGGTTATTTTGTAAATAATAATCTCTCTTTATGTATGGTTCTGTTCTGCAGCATAGCATTTGATGGTGTCTATTACCACAATCTACCATGTAATTGTTGCTCACACAGAGGACTTCAGCTAAAATTTCAAGTTGCATGGTCCAGAGTAGAAGACACTGAATGTGAAATACCAAACAAAAAAACCCTGTGCATACTATCAGCTTCTTTCCCTTCCCATTGTTTGCTCCCCGTTCCACAACATCACTCATTAATCTAACACAGAAATCAGGAGTTAGGTCCTCAGCAGTGTTAAAGCTACAACAATGCTTTCTCCATACTCACTTTTGGCACATGTGGATTAAATTCTACTGCTCTGTGAATAGCTTCTACTGCATTCATCTCTGCAGTACTCAGCCCTCTCCTTGAGGCAGCCTCTGGAGAAAATCTACAAAAGCAAAGAAACAAACACATTAGGTCAGAAATGCTAGTAAGAAAAAGCCAGAAAACAAATCTAGAACATGGGCCCATGTAACCAAACTGAGTCAATTTCCTATGCTCCCCGAACTTCCATAGCAAGCGGAAACTCTGAGTGATCTATTACATCAAGGCCAATGAAAATCCCAGCAGAAGTGGAAAGCATGTTTGCATCTAATCATGGCAGAAAGTCAGTTCAAAGAGCCCTTTCTCTGTCACTAATCTAAATTTGCTCTAGGTACCTTGCCAAGGGGCATATTCAAGCTGAAGTTGCAGAAAAAAGAAAAGAAAAAAAAAAAAACAACAATGCCAAATTATTGTTGGAGGGTTTCTGTTAAAAACAGGTTTGGGGAGGTTTTCGGGAGGCTCCCAACCCAATGCCCCTGGGTCAGGTTGGGATAGAAGCACGATGCAGCAGCAGTAGCGGGTGGTCTACTGGCCGCAGCACCATTGAGGGTAGCATGCCCAAACTGTGGGCAAAATCATCTGCCCCAGTGAATGAAAAACCAGACCATGCAATCTCTTTCTCACCTCACACCCCACGGCTAACTCCAGAGCTGTACTTGGCAGGCAGACACCACAGGGAAAGCTGTGACAACCTTAGCCCTGCCCTCCCAAGCTGGAGTCGCTGTGTAGGGAGGAAAGATGTTGCAGTAGGTACTGGCGATCTACAGGATAAAAAGAATGAAAGAAAATTACTTAGATCTTGATGTGTACATACACTTTAAAAGCAAAAACTGTCAGGATGTCAGTCAAGAAAATGGCTTTCCACTCTACTTGCTTTCCAACTTTAGGGAGGCATTTGACCCTCAGGTGCACAGACACAACTCTGCCTGGGATTTGTGTGAAGGCATCTGAGAGCAGAATCGGGATTTCTGAGCTCCACCTCACAAGGAGCTGAGCACCCTTTCAGAGTGGGCCAGTGCTCTCAAGTCCACAGGCATCAAGTAGATGTGCTCAGCACCTTGGAAGGTTGAGACCCAAGAGAAAACCATAACAGGAATGAGCAGATATTTGTGTCTCTAAAACTATGTACGTCATCTACCTCTCAGAATCCCTGACATAGTAATGCTAAATCCACCTGCCGCTATTTAAGTAGATGAGCAGTCTTCTGACAGCACTTGTAAAATGACATTGCTACCAGTGCATCCATATTTACTTATTACCTTTTTGTGGTCAGGTTTATACAGTTGAAGAGGTTCAGCCACACAACACCTTTTAGTTGCATCTTCGTTATACTATCTAGGAAGCCAAAGCTCACCAAGACAGTATACATAAAACTGAAAAAAAAATTGAATTTATGCTATTTCTCTTCTTTTCTTCTTCTGTAATATTTGAAGTCCAATGTTTGATCACTGCAAATTTTTCTGATATATATATATAAAGTCATTTTATCAATTTACTGCAGGATGGAATTCTCCTGCTAACAAAGCAGATTGTTAGGGTGTGGGCTCAGCTAAGAGAAATCTTGAGTTAAATCAGGAATTTTGCTGGACAGTGGTTCTTATGCACTTACTTGTCAGAGACAGCTCTGGCTTTGAGCAATGCAGCTGTGTAACATATTGTTGCTGATTTTGGTAAGCTTATATCTGTTGAAAAGAAAGAAAAAAGTAAACTTCTGAAAATTTAAAAGTCGGTAGAAAGAAAAGTGTTTGATTGATACTTCAGAGTATGCACGGCACATGCAAAATTATTATGTGAATTCAGAATACCTTCTGATTTTGGGACCTGTACTTCCATGTCACATGGATTTTTAAATTTCCACCCAATATACAGGCTTTAAAAACCTGTGTTAATGACCACTGGGACTGCTATTTAAGCAGCAACTGGGTTCATTAGAGAACTAATTCAAAAAGTGACATGATACAGACATAATGAAAGAATTTATTACTTCATACATAAATGTATATGTAACCTGGAATACATGATTTTTTCCATAGTTAACAAAACATTTAAGTAATAGCTGAGGGCTATCTTATTCACTCCTCTTGTTTTCACTCAGAAGCAGTTGTCTAATATGAGTATGTGGCAGCCATACAAGTTAAGACAGCTATTTAAGTAATAATGGATTTGACTTGCAAGCAAACAACCATTAGATTTATTGCAGTTAAAGATCAACAGTAAAATAAGGTGTTTTGCCTCTTAAGGAAATCTTAGACCAAAATATTCACCAGTCTCTGGCCATTTTATGCTGTTCCAGAGACACACAGGAGCCATAAACCTGACTTAACTCATTAGTTCAACTTAACTTATACCTGGTTTCTACCAGTATATTGGCACAACGCATCCAAAAGGAAGAGAGAAATGATGCTTAACAGACTTGAGTTATAGATTTGTTCCCAATGTAACAGAGAGGAATTGACTTCTACACTAGTCATCTACCCAGCAGACACATATGATACACTGACTGAAATATTCCAGCATTAAAAAGTTAAAGATTACAGCTAAATGAAATAATAATAATAAAAAAAGAACAATCACCCCCACTAAAGGCTGGATTCTGCAAACACTTTTGCACACTGCAATATTATAGCTTCTTACAGTAAATAGCAAATGCACAGCATGGTAAACACAAGGCACTGGAGGAGGCCCACTGTAAAAGTGAAGAGCAGCTAATCTGACTATTGTTCTAAGAAAATATCTATCCTGCAGTTTGTCATTAAAGTTGATTAGAAAGACAAAACTACCATAGAGCTTGGTAAATTTAGGGTTAAGAAAAATTTGTGATTTACTGAACCCCAGTGCCTTGCAAGACAGGGCTCTAAAAAGGAGTTAAAGAGGACAAGCAAGTCATATCTCAGCAGTCACCATCCTTCACTTATTAACAACCAAGCAACCAAGCAGAACATTTGTTCTGTTAGACAGAAAACATTGCCAGAATGACTGAGGCACTTTGAAAATGCTACCTGTTAAACCCTCTCTATTGTCTTTTTATGCACTTGCACTTCAAGTATGAGATGTAAAGATCTTGTTGGAGGCTCCCCTATAATATATTCTAACTATAATTTCACTGGAGTATGTAATTGTAGTGACTAAAGTAATTAAAATCAACAGCATGCAAAGCAGTCTGGGTGATAGATATGTTAATTACTCCACTAATAGAAGCTAGCTACAGACACAGATGTGAGCACATCTTCAATAACAGGAGGAGAAAATATTTATAAGCACCTTCAATAATCCTGCTTATACCAGGTTTTCCTTAACATCAGGAGTTTAAAGTTATTTCCAGTAAACAGAATCACAGAATGGTAGGGGTTGGAGGGGACCTTCGGAAAGTTGTCATCCCTGGAGGTATTTAAAAGATGGGTAGACATGGTGCTTAGGGACATGCTTTAGGGGTGGTTTTGGCAGTGTTAGGTTGATGGTTGGACCTGAAGATCTTAAAGGTCCCTTCCAGCCTAGATAATTCTATGGTTCTATCATCTAGTCCTTTTCCAGAACACACTGGTCTCTGTCTTTTAGTATAAACGTTTTTCATCAAATCGTAACTGGAGTGAAAGGTAGAGGAATGGAAAAGAAAAAAAAAACAAACCACAAACAAACAAAGAAAACCAATGACATGCTGTCATTTATAAGGTTTTCAGCTGGTCAATAGAATACCTTATTTTCCCCTTACCTGTAAGTGTTTCTCTGGGACACCAAGCCACCATTACCTCACGGGAAATATTTTCCCCTGCATGAGTTTAAGCCTAGTAACATTGGTTCAGGATCTGACCTTTACAAAATTTTGCATGAATGACGCAGAACAAGAGGTCTACCTAGAAGTCCCTGGAAATGCATCTTCCCAGGCAAAAGGTGAACCCCACATACGAAAAAAGGACCAAGAAGAGAACGTTTGCCTGGACTTCTTTGAATAGTGCAGCACCATTTCACTTTTCTATCTGTTTGAAGGAGCTGAAAAGTAGGAGGAATCAAGAGGGTCTGTAGTATATAACTGATGTAGCAGACTAAAAACAGTTGTTATGCTGATGAAAGCTGCTGGCTCGATTTCATCAAAGCAAGCAGGTATGCCAGCAAAAGCCAGAATGACAGCAAGAAAATGGCAATTCAGCCCTTAATACACAATCCATGAAGTTAAACAATGAGACCACTCAACACACAAAAAACCTCTAACCACATGTATAAAGGCTAGTTTCTGCATCAGATCACTGATACTTGAATGTTCAGTGGAAGTTGAATGGACCAAGTCGTGAGAATTATTACAATTCTTGGCTAAGAAATTAAGGTACCATACAGTAGGAACGGGTTAAATATATTAAAAGAAAACACCATATCACAATACAGTATCTTCTAGTAGGCAGTAAGTGTTCCTGAGCTCAAAATATCTGTGCACATCGATTTCAGGATGATCCACAATGAACTGCTGGCATTCGTAAGGAAGGGAAATGTGGCACGGTGAGGTAAGGCTCAGGTACACCACCCGAGTTATTCCTGCAGAAGAAATGGCATTTCTCAAGGAATGTTGTGTTCAAAGCTGACCACTCATGGTCAAGAGCAACAAAATCAAACAGAAAGACTGGATTGTTTTTGTAATGAAATCCAAATGAAATGAAGTCTGAGAGAAGATACAACTGTTCCCTATGCAGACCCACGAGAAACACCAGGAAAAGAGAAGGGCTGCTAAGGTACAGGATAATGTTGGCACAAGAATAAACAGTTCAGAATTACATTTAGGCTGGAGATAAAATAAGATTTCTGAGAAGTGGATTTTTGAGGCAAATTTCCAGGTAGAATAGTGGGGGAAACAAAACAGCTAATTCTAGGATGGAGCTTGCTCAGCTCATGGAAGGGGTAATATCTTGTAGTGAATGCAACAGTAGGGGACCAGACTCCTCCAGGAGGCCTCTTCTAGTAGTATGCTCCTAAGTATGCTCCTGCAATTATTTGAGGATAATACCTACAGTCCCTTGGCAATGGAATAAATACATCTAAAACTTCGCATTTATGTTGCTGTGGAGATAGCTCTCAGTAGGTCCATGCCTGCTTCCCTCCAAAAGTGTTTTGCTTTTTGTTTGCTCCATAGTAGATTGTAAGTATTTGGTTCTGCTATACCCTCATCTGATCACTACAATACTTCAAAATCCTCATATAATTTAGGCTTCATCTCCAAAACTGAACCCTTGTATTTAGAGAAAAGCGTAAGACAATCGTGTCTGCTTACAACTTGAATTTAGCAAGGGAATCAAGTATAAACTAGCCCTAGGAGATACATCCTCTGTCAGGAACCAAAGTGAAGTTTCTCATAAATGACTGTGTCCAGCTCTGTGAGCCATCTGGCAAAATAACTTCACATACACTGTTTCCCACCCTCCTGTGATTACTTGTGGAGCTCCCACAATGTGCTGAAAGATGTGACTGCTATTCTGTTGTCAAAACCATCAGGGCATTTTTGCCTAATAAGAACTGATGTGTCAATCTACAAAAGGCTCTCCTTCTTCCTTATTGCTTGTATCTTTAAACAGAATACAAAATAGTCTAGACTTCATTTATGAGCATTTTCTTTCAATTAGCCCCAGTCAGCTATGGGGAGGGCTGGGAAAGTGAATTCTACTGATTTGCTTCGTAATTTGCTTCGTAAGCGGTTGCTTGTGAGAGTGACCTAATGGAAAGATGCTCCGGATAGAAATTTGCAACAATAACATCAGTACTTCTCTGATTCAAGCATATGCCATATATCATCTAAACAGGTCATGGGTTCTATTGTTTTTATAAAATAGCAACTAAACCAAGAAATGACAAATCTGGATATGGACTGGTACAACATCCCCTATCCAAGTCATCAGAAGGCCCTAAATGTGAAGAGACAGGCATGCTGCAATTGATTTAGTCATTAATAAATGTAAAATCTAAGTCACTAATCAGAAATTATTCCCTATTTTGACCCCAAAGCATATGTTATTCCCAAGTCAACGATACAGATTCCCATGGGCTTAATTTCAGGCAGTTGAATAGTTTTATCAACACTAATAGGACTTAAATATTTGCTGAAATAAGCTGTAGAACTGGGGCCATAATTTGCACAGTAAGATCCTTCCGGTCAAACTGCCACTTCTTCTTCATATAGCACTGGAGAGTGACTACCTTAAACTATGGGAACCATTCACATATTTCTAAATATGTAACAAAGTATACAACAAACTGGAATAAGTGATGCAAAGAGGTAAAACAAAAAAACGGTGGAATACAGGACACGTATTGAACTATGGCTTGGGGGTGAACCTTAGCTCTGATTTTCTCTCCCTCAGCCTGTCTGTAGACTCTAGTGTTTAAGTGATAGGCCAACACTTGTCCTGTCAAAGAACTCCCCCAGTTCTCTGTACCTGCAGGTTAGATTGTCAGCTCTTGCACAGGTTGTAGGAAAAAATGCTTATGGGAAAGATTGAAAGTGCTCTAGCAGATAAATAAGTGCATGCTGGATCAGTGATGACAGAAGAGAGATGCAGTCATGTATAAAGATACAAACATTAAAGAAGAAAGTGAATTAAGCTCATACAAATGGTTAAAAGCAAGAGTAATTGGATGGAATTCAATAAAGGAAAGTATGAACTGAACATCAGGGGAAAACCACTTTGTCAAAAAGATCTAATAT